GCCGAGCAGGGAGCCGGATGTGGGGCTCGATCCCAGGACTCTGGGATCATGACCTGAGCCTAAGGCAGATGCTTAACAACTGAGCCACCCAGGTGCTCCTATGTAATGGTTTAAAATTAGATATTCTGGGGTGGGCGCCTGGGTGGCTCCAGAAGCGGACCCTGAGACCAGGATTCAAGGACAAGTACTGTGGTTTATTTGCAGTGTGATCTCAGAAAGTACTGGTAGGGAGAGACAAGGAAGGGAGGGAGGGAGGAAGGAAGGAAGGAAGGAAGGAAGGAAGGAAGGAAGGAAGGAAGGAAGGGAGGAAGGAAGGAAGCCAACATAGGTTTCCTTAAAGAGCAGGTTATTGCTGTGGGCAACAGAAGTTCAAAGTTGGGGACCTCTGGGAGACAGTGTAGAATAACACAACTCAGTATAGTCCTACCTCCACGCTGGGGTATTTTTATACTGACTCCCTGATTCCTCAAGGGCTAGTCTAAGGACTATTAACTGCCTGACACTTCTGGCCTGTCCCCCTGCACTGGCAAAGTGGGGTCTGGCAGCCAGAGAGGAAGCCTCTGAACAGAGAAGCAGAGAGGGGAGAGAATCGCAGTACGATGTTGGGGTGCTAATAGGAAGCCGGTGACATAGGGGTGTGGCCCCAAATGGAGCTGCAACACTGCCAGTAGAGAGAGGATACTTGGGTTTCTGAGCCCATTTGCCGAGACATCCATCTTTGACCCGAGATGCTAATTAACTTTTAAAAAAATATTAAAAATGTGGTGGCCTTTGAGAAAAGATGGCATCTTTTTTAAAAGTTAGCAGTTGGCTAGGTCATACACAGTGTGGCCCAGGTGTGGGCCTTATTATAGAGATGGGGGAGCTCTGACCTATTAAGGTGCAAGAATCTCTGGAGAATTCACTTAAAAAAAAAAAAAGATTTATTGGGGCACCTGGGTGGCTCACTGGGTTAAGAGCCTGCCTTCCCCTCAGGTCATGATCTTGGGTCCTGGGGTAGAGCCCCCTCTAGCTCCCTGCTCAGCGGGGAGTCTGCTTCTCCTTCTCCCTCTGCCCTTCCCCCCAGCTCATGCACTTGCTGGTGCTCTCTCTCTCGCAAATAAAATCTTAAAAAAAAAAGATTTATTTACTTATTTTAGAGAGTGGGGGAGGGGCAGAGACAGAGGGAGAGAGAAAATCCTCAAGCAGATTCCACTGCAGGACCCTGAGATCATGACCAGAGCCAGAAATCAAGAGTCTGCCCCTTAACCAACTGAGCCACCCAGGCGCCCCGAAATCACTTTGTTCATAAGCAGATTGGGAAAGAGAGCTCCCTCAAACAGCTGTGACAGGAGTGTTTCATAAAGCACGGAGAAGGCCTTCTTAAGGCCATATTGACTTTTCACCTGGCAAATGACCCTTACTCCTCAGTCCTTGAGCAAAGAGAGAAACAAATAGATGTTTTCAAAGGATTGGTCATGTTTTAATAGGTTCAATTAGTACAGTATAGCAGCAAGTGGGCGATCGGGTGTTCCTTAGAAGTTAGAGAACGTCTTCGTTGATGTACCCTATAACAAGTATTTTTGAAAGGCGGCAGAAGAGAATTGTCTCAAAGTACTGGCTTTCTCATTATTTTCCAAGCAGATCCCTGATGATAGCAAAAGGTAAGGGTTTGTCTTGGGGGGTGGGGCGGGGAGGGGGAGGGTAGACTTCTCCTAAAAAGAGAATTCTGGAAGTCATCATCGTTCCACAAAGAGGAAAATGTGCCAGACTGGAGTGGGTGGGGGCTGTTTTCTCTTCGTGGTTGGTTGTGGTGCCTTCGGGGTTCCCGACCAGGATGAGGCTTCCGAGCTTTTGCGGTGGGCGAGGGGCTGGCCCCGAGACGCAGGGCTCGGGGAGGGGGCCGCACAGGTGCCGGGCCGTTCGGCGGGTGGGGAGGCCCGAGCGCCGGGCCCGGGGTCCTGCGTCTGCGGCCGCGGGCTGCTGGCTG